CAGCGCCAGGCCCCGCGGCGCCCGCGGCGGGGCGGGGACCCGGCGGCTCCACAGTGGGCCGGGCCTCGGGGTCGGGCGTGGGGTCCCGCGTCCCACGCGCGGGTCGGAGGCGCGGTGTCCGCAGCGTCTGCCGCTGTCCTCGTGGCTGTAAGGTTCCGCCGTAGGCCGGGCTCGCGCCTGTGATCCCCCCCTCGGGAGGGCCGCTGGAGCCCAAGAGTTCGAGGCTGTAGGGGGCGATGATCCAGCCGCTCCACTCCAGCCTGGGCGGCGGAGCGAGACCCTGCCTCAAAAAGCAAAAATGAAAACAAGCCGCCATGGCCTACGAATGTGCTAACTGGAGACACACGACCAGAGTTTTGTTAACAACAAAAAGCAAATATGGGAAGTCGTTGTCAAACCGTCCGACGTTACGGCCGCCGATGTGCTTGGTGACCGGAGGGGCTTTGGGCCCTCGAGATCGTGCGCGCGGAGGGGCCGTCTCCGTCACTCGAGGGTGACCTCAGACTTTTTGGAAGAATTATTAATACGTTATCTTTTTTGTGACACACTTATTTTTCTCTCCTCTTCCAAGCAAGGTTCCGTCCGTTTCCTGCTTTAGAAATTCATGTTTTGGCGTAAATTGAGGGAAAGTTTGAACATGCAGCACCACCTAGTGGAATAGTGTTGCATTAAGCTCGCCATTTCCTTTTCTTAAGTTGCTTGCTAGAGCCCCTGTGGCCGTTTGAAATTGCTTCGTAGAAGAAATTTAAGAGCTCGAAGGTGGAGGAAGATAAGCCCTCTGCCTCGTGGCCATGGAGGTGAGAACACAAGTTGGGTGCCTGATATCACCCTCGCGTGTCTCCAAGCATGCCTCTGCCCAAGGTGCTGGAGAACTCGGACAGTGATGGTGTTCCCAGAAGGAATGACATGATGTGAGCGGCTGCCGCGTGCCCGGCTCCATGCGAGGTGCTTTGACGTTCAAAAAAGCTTTAATTTAAGCCTTTCAAAAAATCTTGGCAGGTAAATCTCCCCACTAAAGACATGAGGACACTGGAATTCAGACAAGTCAAGTTGAGCAGCCAAGAGCTAAAAGGAACAAAACTAGGCCTTGAATCCCGTTGACTCTCTCCAAATCCTAAGCTTTGCCTCTCCTCCTCCTGCCATGAAAAAAATTTTTTTGAGTTGGAGTCTCACTCTGTCGCCCAGGCTGGAGTGCAGTGGCGTGTTTACAGCCTCTGAAGCCTCCACCTGTTGGGCTCAAGTGATCCATCCATCTCCGCCTTCCGAGTAGCTGTATGGCGTATGCCACCATATCCGGCTAGTTTTTTTATTTATTGTAGAGACAAGGTCTTGCTGTATTGCCCAGGCTAGTCTCGAACCCCTGGGCTCAGGCAATTCTCTTGCCTCCGCCTCCCAAACTCCTGGGATTATAAGCGTGAGCCACCACGCATGGCTGAAAAAAAAAAAAGATTAAGCTCACCAAAAGGGGTCTTCTGAGAATGTGCCCTCATGGGGGCTATTGGTGATATGTAGAGGAAGTGGCCTCAGTTCCCAGTCACAGACCTGATTCCTGTTGCTGGACAGACATCTGTTGGGAACGCAGGTCCATACCATTGATCTCAGAGGGGCCGTGGATGGTCTTGCCCACAGAGAACAGCTCAGAGCACCTTCCACAGACTCCAGGGACCTGCTGCACTACTCACAGTGTGTTTTCATTGCACTACACATAATTCTATTTCTTTTCCAGAATTCTGAGTTGACAAAATATTTAAGTGTTTGATAAGAATTTCAGATTATTTATTTTTATTCTTTCTTGCTTTTGAAGAGACAGGTTCTCACTATGTTAGGCTGGTCTTGAACTCCTGACCTCAAGTGATCCTTCTGCCTTGTCCTCCCAAAGTGCTGGGATTACAGTTGTGAGTCACCATGCTTGACTAGATTATTTCTTGTAACAGATCTTTATGTAAATTTTTCAGAACTGTCATTGCAAAACTAATGAGTGGATGTTTTGGTTCTTAATAGTAAAATTTTTTAAAAAAGATATTGACAGACTGCCTGATGGAATAAATGAATAATTTGAATACAAAGATTTAAAAAAATTTTAAATAGTAAATGGTTTTTTAAAAAAAACTTTTGGCCGGGCTCAATGGCTCAACCTGTAATCCCAGCACTTTGGGATGCTGAGGTGAGTGGATTGTCTGAGTTCGTGGGTTCGAGACCTGCCTGGGCAACTTGGCGAGACCTCATCTCTGCAATTAATCAAAAATTAGTTGGGCGTGGTAGCACACGCCTGTAGTTCCAGCTACTTGGAAGGCTGGGGCGGAAGGATTGCCGGAGCCCAGCAGGTCGTGGCTGCAGTGGCCGGGTGACAGAGTGAGACTCCAACTCAAAAAAAAAACAAACAACTTTTAAGGCCAGGCATGGTGGCTCATGGCTATAATCCCAGCACTTTGGGAGGCCAAGGTGAGAGGATTGCCTGAGCCCACCCGCTTGAGACCAGCCCAGGCAATTGGCGAGACCTCATCTCTACAATGAATCAAAAAATTAACTGGGTGTGGTGGCACATGCCTATAGTTCTAGCTACTTGGAAGGCTGAGGCGGAAGGATTGTCTGAGTCCAGCAGGTCAAGGTTGCGGTGGCTGAGCGTGCCACTGCCCTCCAGCCTGGGCGATAGAGTGAGACTCCTACTCAAACATAAAACTAAAAAAAGCCCTTTTAATTAGTTATTATTTTTTTTTGAGTGTGAGTCTCACTTAGGCTGGAGTGCAGTGGTATGATCATGGCTCACCACAACTTTGACCTGCTGGGATCGGGTGATTTTTTTTTTTTTTTTTTTTTTTTGCCTCCTGAGTAGGTGGGACTGCAGGCATGCACCACCATAGCCGGCTCATTTTAAAAATTTTTTTGTAGAGACAAGATCTTGCTATATTGCCCAGGCTGGTCTTGAACTCCTGTGCTTAAGCAGTCCTCCTGCCTTGGCCTCCCAAAGTGTTAGGATTACAGGTGTGAGCTGCTGCACCTGGGCTTAATTAATTAATTTTTATATAGAGAGATGAGATCTTTTTTTTTTTTTTCATTAATCAGTATTTTTTATTATGGTTTTGTGGGGTACAGTTAAGGGTTAGGTGTACAATGACGTTTCATTCAGGCACCCTGTAGATAGATGAGATCTTATTATGTTGCCAAGGCTAGTCTTGAACTCCTGGGCTCAAGCAGTTCTTCTACCTTTGCCTCCCAAAGTGCTGGAATTACAGGCATGAACCACGGTGCCCGGCTGTAAATAGTTTTTATTAACAAGCCTTTAGATATTTTTGTTTAATTAAAAGGTATTCTCATTTTTCTCTTTTGTTAGTCGTGGGGAAGAGTAGCTGATCTAGCAAGGAAGAAAAACTAGCAAATTGTTTCATTGGTCTTCTTTTTTGTTGGTGTGGTTGAGGTCTCACTCTTGCCCCGACTGGAGTGTAGTGGCACAATTATGGCTTTCCATAGCCTCGACTTTCTGCGCTCAGGTGATCCTTCCACCTCAGCTTCCCAAATAACTGGGACTGTGCGCCTCCACGTCTGGCTAATTTTTGATTTTTTGTAGGGATGAGGGCTTACTATGTTGCCCAGGCTGGTTTAGAACCCCTGGACTCGAGTGATCCTCCTGCCTCAGCCTCCCAAAGTGCTGGCATTACAGATGTGAGCCACTGTGCCTGGCCAGTATTCTTTATTTCATCTTCATAGAAAAGTTGTCTAAAGATAAAACTTTTTGCCCTCTTGATTACATTAATGTCAGTGAAAAAAGATTTTGGGATTTCTGACGTGGGAGCGAGTTACAGCTTAATGGCAGAGAATCTGGAGAAAGGCGTTCAGCCCCAGATGCCCTTTGTGAGGAACCCTCGCATGAGGTCAGTCTTTGTGGGTGACAGTCTCTCATCCGAGCTGACAGTAGCCCTGCAAATAAGGAAGGCAGTATCGCCTGGAATGAGAACCCAGCTTTCCTGACTTCCAGTCAAGTGTCTGTCTCTTCTTTCTGGCCCGGATGTTTAGAGTTCTTTCAGAAAACAAAGCATGAGGTGTGGGCTTGTTAACCAGCAGAATCCGGGTTTGTGAATGTCTTCACCAGATTAAGTAGGAACAGAGTGGACCTTGCGCACAGTGTTTTCACCTGGGCCGTTCTCTGGCAACGCCATGAGGGCAATTTAACATACTGGTGCTCTGAGAAAAAGGGTTCATTAATTCACCCCACTGAGGCAAGGGCTTTTCACTTGTAATCTAAAGGGTCTGTGATTCCCTAGAAGTTATACAGAATCCTATGTAAATGTGCAAATGTTATTTGTTTCTTTCCCTCTGGAGTTTTTTTGTTTTTGTTTTTGTTTTTGTTTTTGAGTTGGAGTCTCACTCTGGAGTGAGGCTGTGGTAAGTGGCATGATCCTGGCTCTCCGCAGTCTTGGCTTCCTGGGTTTAGACAGTCCTTCTACTTCAGCCTCCTGAGTAGCTGGGACTACAAGAGCACACCACCATGCCTGGCTAATTTTCTGATTTTTTTGTAGAGATGAGTTCTCATTATGTTGCTTAGACTGGTCTCAAACTCCTGATCTCAAGTGATCCTCCTGTTTTGGCTTTCCAAAGTGCTGTGATTTCAGGCATGAGCCACTGTGCCTGGCAGGATTGGTTTTCATCGGATGTAAAAAGGTTATGGTATCCCAGATAATTAAAACCCATGAGACTGAGCAGTGAAAGCTACTGAGGTCATGTGGGACCATCCAGTGAGCAATAGACCAGGAGTTTGGAGCCCTGAGTTCTAATTCTCTTCCTGCCAGTGGACTTGGGTTTCCTTGGATGGCTGTTTTCACCTCAGTTTCCCAAGTCCTGGAACTGCAAAGTGTCCAAGATGGCCATCTCTGCTGTATCTGTAAGAAGCCAGAGAAGCTGAATTGTGAAATCTGAGGCAGCGGCAAAGGGGCCAGAAAGAACATACCATGGAGGCAGCTTATTTTACACGGAATTAGCCTTGCTTTGGTCTGTCTTTTGAGAACAGAGGAAGGAAAGATAATTAGAATTTGTTGTCCTTTGAGACTTTTTTCTATATCTCTACTTAAGGTAAAGAGCCAAGTTTATTTGAGTTTAAGTAAACCTCTACATTTTTAGATATGAAATGTGTTCTCTTCACAGTCATCAGATGCTCACTGGTTGACAGCAGAGGAGAGGAAACAAGTCATTCTTGATCTTAAAGCAGCAGGATGGTCGGAATTAAGTGAGAGAGATGCCATCTATAAAGAATTCTCCTTCAAAAATTTTAATCAGGTAATTATTATAAATTCTTGCTTCAGCCATGGTCTGTATTTTCACCCTAGGTTGTAACTCTGATACTACTAGTTGTGGTCCTGTGTGGATCCAGGATTCAAATCCTCCCTACCTTAAGTATCCAGTGACAGCCTTATGTTCAACTGGGTGACTCCTAGCTCTGGAAGAAGAGGGTGGTTTTTGTTATTTGAAAAATCAAATTCTGAAGCTGTGATGGTTTTGATTTGGCATTGGTTAGGATATTTAGTTTCTTTTGAAATTTTAAGTCACATGAAAAGAAGGTGTGAGCTTTTTATGTTTATCAGAAAGGACCTGAGTAAAACCAGTTGAGAAACACACACCTGCTCAACTGATTTCCCTTGCTTTTTCTGGGCGGTTGGTAAGTTTTCATTCTTCCTGTGTTTGTATTGGTGTCTCTAAATCATCTCCTAGGCTGCACCCTCTTCCCTGATTGGCTCATTTTCCCTGAGCCCGGTAGCCAGCTCTTGAAACTTTTCTTAAAACCTGGCCCACCCCCTTGGAGACCCAGCTTTAACCAGGTAACTGTTCCATTTGGGGCCCGCCCTGTTTAGAGAGTCATCTCCCATGACTGACCCTCCAGTGATTACTCCATTTCATTTGTCTAAGGTGAATGCTCTTGACTGTTTCATGTTTGTTCAGTTAGTTTGGTAATCCTTTGGACAGATTTATTGTTTTTATTTATATTAGGTGTCAGCATCTAGAAGTCAGAAACCATGTTTGCTTAAATAACTCTCTTTTGTACCTAACACAGTTCTGGGTACAAATAGGCATTTGATAAATGCAGACATTGATTACAGTGTTTGCTGGTTTCTAGAAGGGTGTGTGAAGACCAGATTCACACCAAAGAAACCCTCTGCATGTTTTCCTAGTAAATGCCGTTGGCTCCACTGAGCCGCATGCCCTATTCTGTTCTCTATCCATCTGGCTGCCAGCCTTCGACTGTGACTCCCCAACTCCGGAGGAAACCTGGACCAAGCAGCCTCCCTGTCCCTGCTGCCCCACGTGCTCGGCAGCTCTTGTCAAGGGCTTAGCACACTGCGGCTGGTGGCAGGGAATCCCATTGGTACAGTAAGCTTTTGCATAAGCTCTAGGTAGCATTTTCCAAGCTTATTAAAATTCTTACATGTGTACAGCTTGACTTCTTTAAGCCTGGCCTAATTTATTGGGCTTGAACATGTGGCTTAAAGTACTTGAGTGGTGTTGCCTCGGGCCTTGCCCATGAGTCAGTCCTCCAGCACCTCTCTGACCTTGCGCTCAGGGTGACTTTCAGAAGCGGGAGGGAAGGGAAGCTGTGCAGGGCAGACTGGATTAATTGTAACATTATTCACTGGGACATTTAATTAACTACACTTTTTTTCCTCCTTCACCTAGCTTTTAGGAGAAGGAGGCAGCTTTTAGGGGAAAGAGGCAGTTGACAAGAAAATCAACCAATGTCAGGGAATATGGTATTTAGATAACTGGCACTGAGACTGTATCCTGGCTGCTATGACTTCTGCACATACAGTGGCCTATAATGGTAACTGATGTCATGACAATTGCCAGCGCCTTTCAGCCAGAGACTACTAGGAACATACCTATTGTTGAGCAAGTTAGCTTACTGCTCATTGCAGTGAGGGAGACTGCACACCATAGGGTACCTTGGGGCATCTCAGGAAGATGGTGTTGGAACGACTGATTATAAGACTTGGTCTTGTGGTTGTGATTTTGGAAAGTTTCTTTTTTTTTTTTTGAGTTGGAGTCTTACTCTGTCACCCAGGCTGGAGTGCAGTGGCATGCTCATGGCCACTGCAGCCTCGACCTGCTGGGTTCAGGAGATCCTTCCGCCTTAGCCTTCCAAGTAGCTGGAACTACAGGCACACGCTACCATGCCTGGCTAATTTTTTTTGATTTATTGTAGAGATGAGGTTTTATCAAGTTGCCCAGGCTGGTCTCAAACCTGTGGGCTCAGGCAATCCTCTCACCTCAGCTTCCCAAAGTGCTGGGATTATAGGCGTGAGCCACCATGTCCGGCCTGATTTTGGAAAGTTTTTAGGGAATCAGAACTTTGCTCTGGATCGGATACTGTCAGAAAATGGGCAATTCTATGATTCGGTATTTTAATAACTCTTATTGAGGCCAGGCGCGGTGGCTCATGCCTATAATCCCAGCACTTTGGAAGGCTAAGGCAGGAGGATTGCTTGAGCCCAGGAGTTCGAGACCAGCCTGGGCAACATAGCGAGACCTCATCTCTACAAAAACAAATGAGCAGGCATGGTGGTGTATGCTTATAGTCCCAACTACTTGGGGGGCTGAAGCAGAAGGATTGCCTGAGCCCAGGAGGTCGAGGCTGCGCTGAGCCATGATGGTGCCACTGCACATCAGTGTAGGTGACAGAGTGAGACCCTGACTCAAAAAATAAAAAATCAAACAAATAAATACATTTGATTGATAAAGAAAGCAGATGAAAATGGAGCCAAAGCTGAAACTGAAAAAAAGGAACAGTCAGTCACTTATTAGCTGGAGAGGGGGATGCCTGGTGTTTTGTGGCTTGGACAGTGTTCGTGCTTTGTCTGTGTTTAGATACCATTGCAGAGCAGTCTTGTTTTTGTCTCAACGCATCATGGTCACCACAGGACCTTGTCTGACGTTGATGCTGATGTTCAGCAGGAGAACAAGGCCAAGAACCAGGCCGGCTTCAGCAGCAGGAGCTGCGTTCCTCTTGCTCACAACTGATCTGTGGTGACCCTCCAGCACTGACAGATCTCCATTCGTTTTTCATCTTAGACAAAAAAGCCCTTTAAAAAAATGGTAACAACAGACCAACATTAAAATAGGATGTTGTAAAAAAAATTCCCATCACAATTACTTTGTTGTTGTTCTCTTCTGGCCTTTCTCCATAGGCATAGTTTTTTCACAATGTGGCAGTTATATGTGCAGCTAAGTTTTGTAAATTTATTTTAATTTTTGGTCAGATGCAGTGGCTCATGCCTGTAATCCCAGCAATTTGGGAGGTCGATGCCGGCAGATTGCTTGAGCCCTGGAGTTTGAGACTATGCTGGGCAAGATGGCGAAACCTTATTTTTACAAAAAATCAAACAATTACCTGGCTTGGTGGTGTGTACCTGTAGTCCCAACTACTTGGGATACTGAGGTGGAAAGATCTGAGCCCAGGACGTCGAGGCTGCTGTGAGCCATGATTGTTATGATTATGCCACTGCACTCCAGCTTGGGTGACAGAGTGAGATCCCCAACTCAAAAAAAATTTTTATTTGTAAAATAAAAGTAATATTCATTAACTCAATAAATATTTATTAAGATCTCTGTGCCAGATGCTATTCTAAGCATATGTAGCTCCCATTCTTTTAGGGAAGATAGATAAGCAATGAGTAGGTAGTGTAATTTCAGCTAGTGATGAGTACCATGAGGAAGAATAAAGCAGGATGTTGGCGAGAGAGTGGTGGAGGAGTGAGGCGCTACTTCGGATGATGTAGTCTGGAAGGGCCTCTCTGAGGCCTGAATAATGTAGGGGATCAGTATGTAGAGATCCAAGGGAAGACCTTTCCAGATGGAGGGAACAGCGAGCACAAAACTCCTGAAGCAGAATGACCTTGGCATGGTTGAGCAAGAGCCAAAAGGCTGGTGTTCTAGAATGGGCAGAGAAGAGACGTGATGGGAGTGGCTGGAGCTCTGGAGCCTTGTTGGTAGGGGGAGCAATTTGGATCTTATTCTGGGAAGGAAAGCTATTGGAAAACTTCCAGCAGAGAAGTGTCACTCTTTGGCTTATGTTCTAAAAATCACCCTGACTGTTCTGCTGAGAGTTGGCAAGCACGAGTGGACTGGGGAAGATGATCTTGAACGTGTTGCAGTCCTCTAGGCCAAGATGGCAGGAGACTCTGGAGGAAGCCATGAGAAGTGTAGGGCTCCTTATATATTGTGAGGGTAGAATCATTAAGATCTACTGGAAGGTGGAATGCGGGAGAAGGGGTGGGCCAAAGATGGCCTCCAAGTTTCAATTCAAGCTGTAGGTGAAGAGTGGTACCACTGGTGCCATTGACCAAGCTGGGGAAGATAGGTTGTGAGCTAGGAGGGGAGGGAGGTAAGAGCCCTGTTTTGGACACACCAGGTGTGAGGTACGTAGTAGTCATCCAAGTGGAGCTGTAGCTTTAGCAGCTAGATGTAAGAGGTTGGAGCTCAGGCTGGAGAGAGTAGTTTGTGAGTTGTTTGAGGGGAGCATTGTGAGAGCACTATCCTGGGTGGGCCAGAGAGGACAGGCTCACACAGGCCGTGGGGCACAGGGATGGTTTGTCTACTGACATAGCAAAGAAGGAAGAGTATATGAGTATATGAGATGCGAGTAGGTTGGTATATTTGTCCTGGCAAAAAGAGGTGATCTCTTCTGATTACTTCTGTTTTCTTTCTGAGGTCATCAACTGAGAGCAAGTGGGGGCGGAAGGGAGGAGTATTGGTGATCTGGGAGGCAGGAGGAGCAGAACAGTCATCTTGGAGACGAAGTGAATGAACTTGGGCAATGTGACCAGTTGCTGGGCAGTTCTGTGTCACTACAGATTTATGGTCAAACCGTTAAAATGAAGATTTTGTATGTTTTGTCCACTCATGTTCAGCTGTTTGGCCAACAAACTTGGAGCAGGCGCATAGTTGGGCTTAACAAGGGCTGGACTTTTGCCAAATGAGTGTGATGGAGGAACAGAGGGGCAAGGGAAGTAAGGGTGTGTGCAAAGGAAGGATTAATACGTGGGTCCTCTGCTGGGGAGGAGGACAGTGAGGAGCTGGGAGTGCCATTTGATGTAATCATTTTGGAGGGCAATTGAGCAATGCCTATCATTGTTTCACATCTACATACCCATTGTCCTAACCTGGAGATTTATCTTCTAGATACAGTCCTGCATGTACGCAGCTTGTGTATGTGAGGATGTCAATGAAAGCCCGGGGGGCCTGTGATTTTTCTTGGAAGCAGGCATTTCCTTGTGCGCATGCATGCT